TATATATATATATATAAATTTATATCATTTTAATACAGATTTACATATTTTAACTGTACTCTAGAAATAGGTCTACTATACTTTTGCTTTATTTAAATATCAATTATTATCGTAAACATTAATGATTACATTATTTCATATAGTATTTTAAATAAATGTATAAACAATTTTAAATATTTAAAATTATATAAACTATGAAAGTAAATACACGTAGATTAGATCAATAACAAAAGTGGACATAGTAGTAATCATTATTTATTCATTAAGACGAATAACATTTTCCATCTTCTAATCAATTTTTATATAGCCGGCGTTAGTTTCGACCTAGGCAAACCTTCGCTAAAAAGGTACACTTTCTCCATCAAAAGGCATCTTCTATGAATGGAATGACCTGTTCGAAGCACAAACAACCCCACCCCTCCATATGCCTTATGCCATATATATAAAGATCAACCAACATACGGAATCGCACATGACATGATTTATCTGTTATAGCTATTTAATGTTTGATTTACAGTATGTAAATGTGTTGTCGTACAATAAAGACGGATATTCGCTTACGGCGCATAATTATAATCATATTATCATAACAAAGTCGGGTTCTAGGAAAACTGTTATTGGCATGCCTCTCCGTGTGAATTGTCAATATTATCTGACTATATCCGAAACACTAACTTCTGTTTATATTGTTTAATGGGCAACTGTAAATAGACATAGGCCTATGTTATGTGTATACATTCATGGTTATGTGTATCCTGATATGTCAGTTATTATGTTTGTAATTAATTTGATTGACACTGTTGATAATGAGCCAATCGTAATGAATGGTTTTTAAGTGATTTTGAAAAAGCGAATGATTTTTCAACAATCTTGAATGAGGATAGACAAATTTTTAATCACTTGAAACCACAAAAATAAAATTTTAAATTTTTTTAATTAAAAATTCATAGAAAACATCGTGTATCTAAATATTATCAATATATATTGAGATTAATTATAAATAAATAATTAGGGAAATTATGAATATTATATAATATAACAGATCAATATATATTCCTTCTTATATAGGCATATATAACAATAATAATAATAATATTAATATTATTATTATTATTATTAACAATAATAATGATAATGACGATGATGATGACGATGACGACGACGACGACGACATTGCAGCATTCGTAAAATGTTTGTCATTGGTGCTGGGAACAGTCACTAAAGTGGGGGGAGGCGCCAGGCCCCCAGTAGAAAAAGTGGGTGGGCAAATGGCCCCCTGCCCCCCTCTTCCGCCGCCGTTGATACCACATAGGCCTATGACCTTTTCAAAAATATCTAGATATATTGTCATTTTCTGCAATGTAAATGAGCTCTAGCCGTCTGGTTATTATATGAAAGTTAAATGTTTTTCTTGATTTATGAGAAAAGATAATTCTGTTGACTTTGCATGGTTACTGTGAATAAAAATGATTTACCTTTAGCATAAATTTCTATATTATATAATATTATTCTATATTTTATTAATGAAATTGACAAAAAAAACCTTATTAAAAGAATTACAGACCTAATTATTTATTTGAAAAGACAATAAAATTTCATTCATTTCAAACATTTTTCATAAATCCTATACTAATTTATATATTACTAAAATTGAGGTGTTCATTATATATTTATTTTATGAAAAATTATGAAATTTTAATTTGCATAGCAACGGTTGCTATGGTGATGACCTTGTATATTTTTACACTATTAAATTCACTTTTTTTCTATAAAAGCTGTTTATCGTATAAAAAATACTGTATAAGCCAATCTAATAATATTTTACTTCAGACAAATATTAACAGCAATTATGTGAATTTCATTCGTTGCTATGGAGTTATAAAAGTTCTGTAGCACTTCAATAAAGGTGTTTCTTGATTTTATTTTCTTAAATATTGCTCTTCTATAATACATAACATAACTTTAATACAAAAATATTCATAAACCTATGACAATGATGATTGAAATAAGCTTTTAGCATCCCTTATACTGTACTTAAATTTCATGAAATAAAATAGGAAGCTTAAATTTGACAAAACGACAAACTTATACCATTGGAGCATAAGTATAATGAAAACCAGAAAGCAATTATAGACTCCATGTTATTAAAAGAAATATATGAAATCAGAAAATCCAACCTTTTATTTTATGGAAGGGGGATGGTTAGTATACATGATTTTGATTAGATTTTAGCCCATAGTTGCTGATTTATTTTTTTTTTAACCATTGACATTTCTCATAGGCCTATTGGCATTGATAAATTATTTATTCATCTAAGTACTTGCATAACTCAGTTATTCTAGAAACACTAATAACTGAAGATATTGCATTCCATAAAGCTCTAAGGCTCCTATTATGAACTCTAAACCTGTATTAACTGTATCTCTGCGGTGGTGATAAGTGATAACATTTTTTTAAGTAAAAAAATATTGATAATTGAAATGTGTTTAAAAAACTATTTCAAATAA